CAGAAAGGAGCTGCGGGATGTTTCAGAGGGAGATAGGCATCTCGTGGGAAATTGTAATGTTCCTTGTGCTGCTGCTGCTTTGCATTAAAAATCTGGCTCTTTGCCACTTGAGGAAGGATTATGGCTCTTAAATACTTCTGGAAATAGAAGACTCATGTTTAGGGAAATCTGGCTCACTGCCTGACAGTGGGAGCACACTAGGGGTCTTTTTGCTTGGGTGGGGAGGAAGGGGGAACGATGGCACGCTGCTAGGTCGTAAGCGTCTGGTTAACGATCACAGACCCCAATTCAGCACGCTTGAGCACATGTTAATCCTCGTTTTATGCAAGGCTAGAAGCAGTTACTGAAACGTTTCTTGGTGTAGGATCCTTGCTTTCATGCCTCTCATACCAACAAAAACAAGTTTCTTCCCAATATACTGGCTACCAGAGGAAATCTTGACTCGACTTTCAGGAGGGATGTTTAACCTTAACACATTCAGCGCCCTGGGATTTCCACCGCGCTCAGCTACTGAACCTAATGGACTGCAGCAGAGACACCTTCCTCGCGCGCAGCCCCACCGCAGGCTGGCACGCTCCCGCCCGCCGCCGGCCCCCGCCAGTCCCTGAAATCTTCTCGCATTAGGAGGTCGCTGACACAAACACCTGAGCTCATCTCAAAGACTGAAACTAAAGCTACAAAAATGCACGTGCAAGAGAACCAGAATTCTTCCGAAACCCGCTCTATAAATGGCGTTCCACTACCAATTAATTCAAAGGAATTACAGGAAACTCTAATTTATGCAATTAAAAATTATTAGATTAAAAGCAATTTTTAAACCACTGTCCTGTTGTGAGCAATCCTGAGCTCTGCATGTGAATTCAATGCTTTCAAAATGCGGAGACTTTTCCAATCACTAGTCTTTATGTAAAGTAAAGGAGTAATTAGATACCAAAACCAATAATTATCTCAACGAGAGACAGAGAACACATGCAAGTGTAAATACACTTCCCAGGGTAAATGCAGATCCATGCACGGGATTGTCATGCACATAAGAAACCTAGGAGCAGCCAAGCACAGCCCCGTGTCAAAACCGCTGAGTTTCTGCACACCAAAGACAACCCAGAGCTCAATCTGTCTTGTTACCATCTCTGTGATAAAGGTTAATCAAATATGTGCCATGACCCAACACACAAGATCATGGGAATTTATTTTCAGCTCAGTATATGTAACACTCAAGTCAGGCAGAGGGCTGAACAGTCCGTTTTGCCATTGGTTTAAAACTAAGGAGTTTTCTGAGAAGCGATGCAAAGCCCTTGCTGCCAGCTAGATACTGGGAAGGCAAAGAAAGCCTTCACTTGCATCCAGGCTCACTATCTGCAGATTCGTTACAAAATTAAGAGAATGAGGCAAAAAAGTTGTGGGTGCCGCACAGGAGAGAACTAGCAAAGCTGGTTGTGCAGGGAGCTGCGCGCAGAGAGGGACCGTCGCGCCGGGGAGAGGCAGCGCCCGCCCAGGAGCGCCCAGCGCAGAGCCGCGGAGCCGGGCGCTCCCCACTTCCACGCTCTGGTTTCCAGGACCAGCCTGGCCACAAGAGTCTTATGTGCAACAGAAGATGTTATGGTACTTGAACAATGAGCAAATATTAATTTATGATACTTTCTGATATGCAAAACTTGATGACGTGGTGCCTAAGATGATTTGAACTGATCTCTGCTAACCTCTAATTTGCGTTCAGCTGGCTGAACTGTTCAGGCACTGCGAAGCGCTCGAGGAGAGGAAGGTTTTGTGCATCTTGTGAACAGATACCGAGCCCACAACATTTGCAAACTATTCCATATTCTAAAATCTTAACTTACAAACAGCTCCTCACAGCCTCATCTTTATAGCAGCCAGTTTAAAAAGGAAAGATTTCAGCTGCAGTAAAGAGCTATGCTGGCACGTTTCACTGCACGCAAGAGAGAAAAGGGAGCAGGCGCCAGAGCCCCTGCATGACCGGCTGGAGGTGAGAAACGGCCAGCAAAGCCCTTCCTCGTGACCCATCTCAAAGACATTTTAAAGTTGCACAAACCCAGATTTTCATTTCCGTGCTGCTCTGATCTGCTCTCACAGATGGCATGAAAGGAGCAGTATTTTTCAGCACAGAGGCAGAGCTGCTGAAATATCAGCTATCAGCAGGTACCTGAGTTGTCTTAATCCTACCTAAATCCTACATCAACTGCACCTACCTTTCTGTTAATCTTCCTGTCCTATCAAACGTTAAAATTTTTCCCAACACCAGCTGTTAGGTGAAAAGCAACAGATAATAGCTTACCATCCTCTGTTCCAAGGTCGGTGATCAAAAGGATTTTTAAAGAAATAAGACATTTAAAGCAGGACAAAATTTGCATATTTTAAACATGAAAACAGTAAGAAAGTGTTTTGACAGAATTCAACTTTTTAACTGTAAAAACAAACAAACAAACAACAAATAACACTACGTTTTAGCACATGGCAAACAGCATATCTGCATATCTGGCTCAGGAAGGAAATGGCAGACAGCAGAGGAGAGAGTTAGCAGGAGTTTCATTAGGAAATGAACCCAGAGGTGAGGAAAAAACCCAGTAGTTAGAGGTTCCAGGAGAAATGGACTCTCACCAAATAAGAAAAAGACTCGGACGTGGCGGTAGCCTGGAGCAGCACGGCCGGTCGCACAGTCTGCCCAGCACCTTCCCCGCGCGCAGCAGCCTTCTCGCCCGGGCTAGCGCTCACGGACTCACCTCTCCTCTCATTTCTGAGCATCTTTTCTACAACAGCTGGATCCCATCTGAAGCAATCAAATCATGATGCGTACAAACAGCCTCTAAAGACTTTTGCACTGTTTTACTTTAATATTAAAGTTAATGCCTTCCCAGTAACACCTTGCCTCCGTGGCCTGTGACTTGACGATCCCATCCCTGCTCAGGGCGAGTAAAGCAGGCAGCAGTTCAGACCTCCACGGTAACCATCACGAACTGCCTACCAGCTCCCTGGACCTCAGCGTCTCTGACACAGGCAGGGAGACGGGACTTTTTCCTCTTTGCTCATACAGAGCGCAGCCCAAGATCACAGGACACAGCAGCAACTCCTGGGCCGTGGGGGCACAAGCGCAAGGCTCTGAGCACAGCAGCCCCTTAGCTTCCTGCCAAGGCATCGCTGTGCCGGAGTGAAGCTTGTAAAAATATTTATCTGCAATTTTAGAATCGTGAAATTAAAATATGGGGTGAAAAACCAGAGTGCTCCTGGTGTCCCTAAACAGTGGGATAACTCAAGAGGCAGCTCTGTCAGACCTGGGCAGAGGACCGGCCCTCCCCCGGCCGGTCGCGGGCGGCAGCCGCTCGCTCATCCACACCGCACGGCGAGAGGGAGGAGGAGGAGGAGGCTGCCGCGGCTCCCGCGAGGCCCAGCTAACGGGCGGTTTGTTCACGTGTGATCAGCCAAGCAAGGAGCTGCAGAAGGGACAAGGCTGCTGGAGCACAGTGGCGTTCAGAGGAGAGCTAAGAGAGTCAAACACAACACGAAATGGGCTCCCACTGTATCTTTTCTCTGCAAGCAGAGTTCTTCCAAGCACTGAAGGGGATCCCTTCAAAAGAACACGTTCACTGGAAAAGCAGGGGAAAAGCAGATGTGTCCAAGGTTTATAGGCAGTGGGGCCGGGAAAAACTCAGTTAAATACATGCAACCTCTCTGATCTTTGAGTTATGATCCAGAACGATGGATTAAGAGAGCAAGCAGTGTGTCCCCACCTTGATCACCGGGGACAAATATTATCAGCCATGTGAATCGGATTGAACTTTGGATTCATGATTCCCTGTAAAGCATCAGTGCCCAAGCTGGGGCACAACAGCTAACGGGTGCGGGAGATGGATGAGCTCATGCCTTACTGACCTAGACCGCTGCGGAGGGGCTCGGACACGGCTCTGGCCGTCAGTCCCAGCAGTGGCAAAGAGAGATGGAGAAAACCAGGGAGATGTTTCCCCGTCTCTGAGCCTCCGTGGTCACGGCTGCCTGTGCATCCTCCTTGGGAAGGGCCGGGAGCCTGCAGGCAGGGAAACGCAGCCTGGCCGCTCGCTGAGGGCTGTGCCAGGGAGCCGGCGCACTGCGATGTGCAGGCCAGTGTCCTGACACTCCTTCACCACACCCGCGCTGGGCAGTGAAACCCACTTTGTGGTCCAGGCCGTGCCCATCCCATGCACTGCTCAAGGAATCGCACACAGATGCCACTGCAAAGGCGCTGGACCAGCGAGTAGTCAAGCACTGCTGGTTTTTTTGAGGAACAACTTTCAGACTATTCATCCCCCCACTCAATCTCACTGCTGGCAGCTAGCCTCCCCTTCACAGCCATGTGCTCCATGTTCCCTGCACTCCCCAGCACATACAGCATCTCCCTCACCGGTAAAACCCATTTTAAAGAAATGCAGATGTAAGGCAGAAAACCCTTGTTCTCCTTATTGCAGAGCTCCTCTCCATTTTCGCACTCACACACATCAGGCTCCAGCCTTCCACGAGTTTGCCTTGGAGAGAAACTGTTGAGTGAAATATAGCTTTATTACCAATTCAAACAGACTAGGTTGCTGAGCTAGATGTTAAAATACAGCTTTGATAAACAAAGACCTGTTCAGCTTAAGAAGAAGGGGAGGAAAAAATCCAGAAAGACTGACCCATGGTATAACAAATTGACAGGTATCATAATGCAATTGCATCTTTGATCTAAACACGTGGTGTTTCTACTCCTGCAAGTCTGAGGAGAAGACAAAGTGCCCAAGAGGCAGTATGAGATATTCTTCCATGATTGTTGTTTGACATGTGCCAGATTTACGGACAAGCAATCTCCTAAATAGATCAAATAAATGAGACATCCCCACTGCGGGAACGAAGAGTAGCATCTGCCCATATGCTGGTGTGCGTGTGCACCCACGACCGTGAGTGGGAGCAAATGTGCAAGAGAGAACAGGTGGGTGGGAGAGTGAGGGAGGGGAAACACTTAATACAAGCAAACTTACAGCCTTGGGCTTGAAGGGAGGTTGAATCTCTTTGCGCTCGAGCTTATCCCAGTCGATATACCGGAAGAACGCGTGCTCCTTGATGTCCCGCTCTCCTTCTGGGCCACATCCCAGCCGCTTGGCAGGGTGCTTGGTCATGAGCTTGGGGAGAGAAAAAGAAGAAACAGGGATTCACAAAGTGCCAAGCTCCTTCGCAAACCGCCTGGGAAAGGGGGCAGCAGAAGCCCAAGTCCCCATGATGCAGGGCAGGCTGCACCCAGGCGAGCCCGGCCCTTGGGAAGCCCTACGTCAGGGCCGGGAAACGCAAGCGGCTCCCCTCGCCTCTGCATGCTCGAAGCAGAGGACAGAGCGAGGAGCAGGGGCAGCTCTGGATACAGGGAAAGCTGGCAATTACTTGGGACAACAGACTGCAGAAGGTCACAAACAGCCCGGGCCCTGCTCCACGAGCACGGGCTGGGATGGAAACCCTCTTCCCTCCGGCAATGCAATCGGTTCACCGAGAAATAACGTTAGTGCGGTGGTAGAGCTGCCGGCGCTGCTGCAGTCTCCGCAGCTGGCTGTAACGGGGGAGCGGGATGCAAGTAAAGCTGCTTAGTGGACAGGAAAACCGGGCTTGGTAGCAAACTTCTCGGCAGCTGCAGAAGTAATTTAAAGGCCATTGCCCGTTTAAGACGAACAATGTACCCTCAGCAGCTTTCCCAGGAGCAGAAGCCCCGCTTCCCTGGAACGGCCACGGCACAGGCAGGAGATGTTTTTCTAATGAAAGAATCAATTTGGAGAAAAAAGGAGCAAACAGTCCATTAATATTGTTTATCACCTAAACTCCTCCTCTTCCCTGACTCTCTAAGGAAAGTGAACTTGACCACGGGGAGCGCGGGGAGCTGAACAAACATTAATATCCTGGTGCATTGTGTGCGTGGTATTAGAGGAGATGAGAGAGAGATTCCAGAGCTCTGTAAAACGTGGCCAAGCGAGGAGGAGGCGA